GATCAAACTCTCTAAATTCACTTTAGCAAGCCCTTAACTTTATCAAACTCTCTAAATTCGCTTAAGCAAATGCAAATGCAATCGCAATCGCTATCTTCAGCTATTGCTGATGCAGTAGTCCAAACAGAGTTGTGCCAACATTGATGGATGCCCGAAACGATTAAAAAGAAGAAGATGCCTCACTTCTTAAAAAAAACATCATCTATAATAACAAATATTATCGTCATATAGAAAACAAGCATATAAAGAACTAAAAACTAGCAAACAAAACATTAGTTACAAAACTTAATTTTTTTTCTTTTTGTTCAACAAAATTGTTAATCAAATTTTCAAAATCAAAAATTTTAATTAAATTTTTTTTGATGGATAAAATAATTATTTTGTTTATGTGATATATTCGAATAGAAAAAAATTGTCAAGTTACTTACTCTAAGAAACTAATTCTATGTTTATTTTACTTTAATTCTTTAACAATTAAGAATTGTTTTTATATATTTAGTTACTTAACTATAAGAAATCCATAATTTTTATTATTTAGATCTATGTTTTGTTTAATTTAATTATCAAAAAGTTTTTAACGTTTAAGTTTATGATTCCATAATTTTATTATTTGAGTTTAACTAAAATGAAACAAATAAAAAATACCTTTTAGTCTTTTCCAATTAAAAGATGCCGTAAGCTAAAGTTTCATTTTTCACCACCATGGCAGGGCTGTTAGTCCAAACGGTAAACTAATATTACAAATGTAAAGTACATAGCACTCATTCACAGTCCACAATACACATTGTATCGTGTATGATGGGTAGTGGAGACTACCAAGAAATATCGTGTACAGTAAAGTCTTCTCTCAAGTCTCTCTGTCTTTGTCGAATCACTTTTGCTAAGTTTCCACCATCTCAATAACTCTCATTCATCCCATAAGTAATTGAATTTTGGTATATTTTGTTTTCTTCTCTATGGCGTCTTCTTCTTCTCGCAGCCGGAGATACGACGTTTTCCCGAGTTTCAGCGGTGAAGATGTCCGCAAATCATTCCTCAGCCATCTTCTCAAGGAGCTCGACCGCAAATCAATCAATACATTCATAGATCATGGGATCGAGAGAAGCCGCCCGATCGGCCCTGAGCTTCTATCGGCGATTAGAGAATCGAGGATCTCAATCGTCGTCTTCTCTAAGAATTACGCGTCTTCAACGTGGTGCTTGAACGAATTGGTTGAGATCCACAGGTGCTTTACGGATCTGGATCAAATGGTGATTCCTATTTTCTACAAAGTTGATCCTTCTGAGGTTCGAAAACAGACGGGTGAATTTGGAAAGGTCTTTACAAAAACATGCAAAGGCAAACCGGAGGATCAGAAACAAAGGTGGATTCAAGCTCTCGCAGAGGTAGCAAATATGGCCGGAGAGGATCTTGCCAATTGGTATATACAGTATCTTGTTTTCTCTTTTTATTATTATTATCTCAGATCAATTAGGAGTTTCTATTGTTTGTTATTAGGCCTAACGAAGCAGACATGATTGGAAAGATAGCAGATGATGTTTCGAAAAAACTTATTACAAGGAAACCAAATAGTTACGGAGACTTGGTGGGAATTGAAGCTCATTTAGAGACATTAGCCTCAATGTTGTGCTTAGAATCTGAGGAAGCTAGAATGGTCGGGATTGTGGGGCCTTCAGGGATTGGTAAGACTACCATAGGAAGAGCTCTCTTCAGTCAACTCTCTAGCCAATTCCATTATCACGCTTTCATCACCTTTAATAAGAGAACCGTCGTCGGTGATGACTATGGCATGAAGTTGTGCTGGGAAGAACAGTTTCTATCAGAAATTCTCGGTCAAAAGGACTTCAAGATATACCAACTAGGCGAGGTGGAACGGAGGTTAAAGCACAAGAAAGTTCTTATCGTTCTTGATGATGTGGATGATATAGAGTTACTAAACACCTTGGTGGGACAAACGGGATGGTTTGGATCCGGAAGTAGAATTATTGTCATCACTCAAAATAGGCAACTTCTCAAGGCTCATGAGATTGACCTTGTATATGAGGTGGAGTTCCCATCTAAAGCTCTTGCTCTCAAGATGTTATGTCGATCTGCATTTCGGCTAGACTATCCACCCGGTTATTTTTGGGAACTCGCAGTTGAAGTTGCCAAGCATGCCGGTAACCTTCCTTTGGGTCTCAGTGTCTTGGGTTCCTCTTTAAAAGGAAGGAACGAAACAGAGTGGAAGGAGATGCTCCCTAGGCTCCGAAATGGTTTGGATGGGAAAATTGAGAAAACATTAAGAGTCGGCTACGATAGATTAGATGGAGAAGATAAAGATTTATTTCTTTACATTGCGTGTCTATTCAATGGCAAGAAAGTCGATGAAATCAAAAACCTGCTGGGAGATAATGTTGACAGCATTGGGTTTAGATTGTTGGCTGAGAAGTCCCTCATACTTATAACATCACCGGATGGAACGGTGGAGATGCACAGCTTGCTCCAGAAGGTAGGTAGAGAAATAGCTCGTGAAGAGTACATGTACAATCCTGGAAAACGTCGATTCTTGGTGGATGCTAAAGATATTATCAAAGTACTTACCAATAATACTGTAAGTTTCTTTTCATGCATGTCCCAATCTTTATTACTTAATTAGTTAAGGTATCTGGTGATTGATTGATAAAAACTGTTACGATTGATAAG